CTACATCCTCAGATGAGTCTACGCAGAGATTTGAGAGGTTAAGGCTCTCTATGCTCTCCACATCAGTCTCATCTTTGGAAGTACTAGGAGTTGGTTCTGTTGTTCCTCCCAGTTCCTTTAATTCTTCTTTCTTTTGAAGGCCGTGTACGGGGATTTTCCCGAATCGATAGTGGATAGTACATCCACTATCCTTGATCCGTTGGCAGGATAGGTCATCTATTCCTAACCTAAGGATCTGGCCTTTGCCCTCGTCTTTTTGACTGACGATTTTCCACAGTGTGGTCGATAGCCCCACATTCTGCGCTTCTATTAACTGTAGAAGCTTCTCTACAGGCTTCCCTTGACTTCTTGGGAGAAAGAGCGTGGCTGTATGTGCTTTCGGGATGTCTTCTCCCGCACATACCTCCAACTCCACTCCCTTCCAGTTGCTCAGGTGTGGTATTTTTGCCCTGAGCCATTCTGCTGACTGTGGGGTTTCACAGTCGATCAAGACCATTCCTGGCCGGAAGTGGATGCCTCCGAATTGGAGCTTATGCTCACATCCAGCGAACATCTCTTCTACCAGGGCTTCTTCCACCAAGGTTTGTTCGTTCGCACTGAGGATTGTCTCAGGGAACCCCTTAGGTAGGATCGCGACCCGCTCCGTCTTCACGACAGTTGCATAACTGCCCGAAGCGGAAGTATCGGCCACTTTCCTTTTCTTTTCTTTCCTTTGCGGTGGTGTAATGTTATTCCCGTCCCGCTTTCTTTTCAGATCCTTAGGATTGGTTTTACTTCCCTCTCCCTGGGATCTGTGCTCTACAGCTTTCTTTTTCGCTTCCTCCGGTGTCATTCCCTGAGCGAGGTAGCGAAGATACCACCATGCCTCAGTGGGTCGTCCCTTCCACCAGGTTGTCCCAGTGGAGGTAGGGAAGGTAGCTTCCGTTTGGATTCTTTCTTGAGGGGGGGCTTCCCTCGCCGATGAGTGGTGAGAGGGGGATGGAGAAGATGGAGCGATGGTGCTCCTCTTCTCTTCTCCCTTCACCTCTTTCTTTTGTTCTCCCACTTCTCTCTTGTGAGGTTGTCTCACTTGAGAGGTTGAGGGAGGTTGATCGCTTCGGATGGCAGGCTCCGTTTGATCAGATTTGGTGGCGGTGTAGTCCCGCCGGGGTTTGCTAAATTTTGTTTTCTTGCCCATGTAAATCTGATCTACCTTATAACACTACAAATTCATGTACCATAATTATTTATATTTCTCACAAAAGTTCACAAAAATAGTATTTTATAAATGAATAAATCAATAAGTCACACAGAAACTGTCAGAAACCCAAAATAGCTGTTAGACCCGATTGGCAACGTTGCGGCTGGTTGCGGTAACTCCATTTCATTCATGAAAATAGGTACTAGTTGTAAATTTGTAAAATAAGATATTCAGCCTTGCCATATTTACGAGATTCTTTGCAACCCTAATATTTTGTTTAGATTAATATTTATTTTTAATAAAAAAATTAGCTTATATTAAAACTTTAAAGAATAATTTAATTAAAAACATATTTTTATTTATATAATATAAAATTATAGTTATAGGATACATCAAATTTTATTTTTCGAAAGTAATTTCTCCAAATAATTTTTATAGAATGAAAACCGGCAAAGACGCAATAAACGAGAATCTGGTGGGAATAATGATTTGCCACATAAAATGTAAATAATTTGGTCTCTTAGTTGTAATGTCTTTGGTTCTATGGTATTTACAGTGTTTTTCGGTATTTGTTTGGGGATATCCATTAATTACGTGAGGTGTTTTTTTTTTTTTTTTTTTTTTTTTTTTTTTTTTTTTTTTTTAATTTGGATTCTCCCATTTCCCTTAGTGAGATTTGGTAAGAGCTGAGATTTACCCTATAATTTATAAATAATTAAATTTATTTAATATTTTTCTTCATATCACTAAATACCTAAGCTTAATAATACTGATTATTTTTACATACATGGATTAGAACGGCAAGCGGCATTTGGCACATAACATGCAGATGACAGCTGTAACAAAAGTATCTGCGCATTCACCTTCTGAGTCGTTCATCATTTTTTAAGTGACAGAAGGACCTTGGTTACGGAAAAATTAACCCTACCAAGAGGTCAAAGTAAGAGGTGTTGCATCTTATTCTACTAATCCCAGATCGGTAATTTGATCTGTTCAAGAGATATAATCAAAGAACTGCAGTTACTTTGTTTGGCCTTCTTAACATCGGAAAATACTTAAATGTTTTTTGACACCTAAATAAATCCAATTAGGCAGTCCAAATAAAATGGCTGCTAGTGGGTAATGACAAGTTATGAACATGGCTCGTTGATTTGACAGGGTCAGTGATATAGATAGTTATACAGGGTGATTCGGGAGGAAGTGGCAATATTTTAAAGACATCTAAGAAGCCAAAATAAGCTCATAAGTTCGATTTTCATTTATATCAGAGATAATTAGCTTTTTTTAAATGTCAAATTGTTTCAATTTTTTGCCTGGTACGACGTGGAAACAAGGGAAGCGTTACTAGATCGCATTTTTAGTTCATAAACGCGCAAATGAGTATCGAAGTGGGCGGTGGTGTTTTCGAAAATTTGTAAATTAATGCTATTTGTTTATTTTTGTAATGTATTTTGTAATACATTTTTGTTTACTTTTTAAAAATCGATAAATGTATTCGCTTATAAAAGAGGTCTTGTTATATTACCTCTCGAATAATGTAGTTTGCTTTGGTTTCTATTGGTTTTGTTATTTGCGGGACTACAATTTTTTAATCCCTTGGGACTAAAATATGTTAGTCTCAAGGGAGTAAAAGTGGCACTTCAGTACCTAAAATGAGGGAGTAAAATGGATGTTTTAGTCCCTGAGGTAGAAAAAATGTTTAATAATTCAAAGTAACATATCAAACATTCTTGTATTTGTGTCAACAAAGCAGCTGTATTAAAAACTAGAGGTGGAATGTACACACCGAGGTTTGTCTTTATTAAAATTAACTTTTAATTAGTCTTTGAAACTATCAATCTCAAGGTCAGAGTTAACTACACATTGAAAAACCGACCCTAAGCACACTTAACGATTTTTAGCTAAAATATTACAGTTTACAATTAATATAATTTATTTTATACATTGTTTCCAAAAAGATAATTACATGTATTTTTACTTCTCTGTTCCTTTTCCATGGTATACTTATCAAACAACACATTTTTCTGAGATATTAAAAACGAGGAAATAGTCCATATTGTGCAAAGTTTTTTGATTCTTACTTGTTACGAAACTTATCTAATTTCCAAGAAATCAGATTTACATCTAGTGACCTGTCTATCACTAATTTCTAATTAAGTTTTTTGCATATCCATGATGAGGGGAAGGCTTAGGTAGACTTTTCTAATTACTATTCATACACGCTTAATCACCAATTGTCTTCAGGTGAAAGTAAAAACTACAATAAAGCAGATTGTAATTCGTAACGTATCATTATATACAAAGTTGTTTAAAACATTCAAAAGACACTTTTAGTACCATACCGAATTAAGTAATGCACTTTTTGTTTCCTTGTACTTTATTTGTTACGATAGTCTCAACAGTCAACAGGTGTAGTAGGTTAATGAGATATAGGCCAGTAAGTAGATACGTAGGTACAACTACAAACCAACAAATGTAATATTAATTAAATTTCGTGTTAAGATAACGTATCCAATGAATCGAAACTAGTCGATTTTACAACTCGTTACATGGTCGGCAAAATTGTAAAAATGGCAAAAAAACTAAAATAATGGATTGCTGGACGATCATAGCTGCAGATTTGTTACCATTTCCATTTCAATATTAAAGATCTGTAGCTGAATTTGCAGCCACTTATCTGTCTAGGACTTTAGTTGCTACAAACGTCAGGAATCCGTAAATAATTTGTGCTTGCTGACCATTTTCTCCAGCAGCCCCATACATTAAAACCATTTCTGTTAGTTTAATGTTTAGTAAGTTGAATTGTAAAAATACTTCTTTAAAAGATGATCAAAAAAACCATACAAAAAATTTAGCACCAACTCCAACGACAATTTGACAACAACGCACAAAACAACACGCGAACTAATGTACGCAAGACGAAGCCTGTTTAACTCTACTAATTTGCATAGAATTTATTAGATAATACGGTAATTAAATACATAAAAATATCTTGAATTGCAATAATTAATGGTTCTTCGAGATTCATAATAAAAACTAAAAAGTATCAGTATGGAAGAAAGGTGCATTATTCTTCTACATTTTAAAAAAAAATTCCTTCGACTGAATGAATAGTAAAGCTGAACTGGTTTACTTTCAGGTGTTTACGGAATAAAATCGCCGACATCACTAAAAACTCTTTTTATTCTTGAATATCGTATTATACCTTTAACATCACTGAACTATACTACATGTGTGTATTAGGCTGGGCCGAAATAGGCATATTTTTAAAAAATATTAAAATTAAGTTAATAATACCTATCAAAACTTGCGTTTTGCTGTGCTTACATTTCATGATTTTTTAAAATTTCTAAATCCTCATTTTCAGCTCTGTACCGCCCCCTTTAGGTCTGAAGAGTTAAAGTTTGAAATTTTGAAGTACAATACCTACTGAAAGCTAAATTTTAGTGTTTGTATTCACAATATTTATTTTTAATATTTTTAAATAATATTCAGTCCTTTACTACCCCTTTTAACCAATGTTTAAACCATTTGTCTTTAAAAGATGAGGTAAAAATTACTTGAACAACAAATAAATATTATACGATTAAATCTAAATACATTTATTTTAAAAATGGTAAAAGTACCTAAAGAAATCAAAAAAATATAAAAAGCTAACACATCAAGTACAAAAAAACGTAGTAATAAAAAAAAACTTAGTGAATTTTAAACTGTCGTTTACTTTCAAATGTTGGTATAATTTCTTTTAATTTTATTCTTGAGCGAATAAAGCCGTCTTTTAATTCTGGACCAATAATTACTAAAGAACATGACACTGTAACTAATTTTTCGCATCCCTCCACGGATTGAGTATGGCAAGGGAACTTCGGAAATCAAAGTCTGGAATTTCGGTTTCGTTTATAAGGTTTTTAAGAGTATCATCAGTAAAATCTCTTAAAACAGGAGGAGGTGTCACATCGCACTCATTCCAGTAAATTAACTCAAAGTAGTCTGTAGTATTGAAATTAATTTTGGGTACCACAAAGTGTCTTACTTCAACGGTTTCTCGACTGTTTTCTCTAGCTTTTAAGATTCTTTGTAGAGATAGTTCCCGAACCCATTCACGAGTGTCTGTTAGCATACACAAAAGAATATTTTCGGGGTGTATAAAATACGCGTTTCTTTTGATTACCGTATCCACAATACTTCTTGAATCATCTCTTAAATACCGTGACAGTTCAATCGTTTTAAATACTTGAAAACTACCACTAGTGGAACTGAAATTTAGTTTAATATTAAACCACATTGGGGTATACACTTTAGTTATGAATTCGGCCATATCCGTAAGGCTTGATGTTGGCTTTTCCGTTCCAGCATAGAGCCGAAGAACACGATCTGCCATTGTGAGTCATCTAGAGTGCGCTAATTTCCGAGGATTACGTTGTGCTAAATTTGATGAGGAATTGCCTCTTGATATTGCATTGCAAATTTCATATAAATATGAGATCAGAACTTAAATCTCTAGACATTACAGTTATATTTGGCAACTCACATTTTATTGGATTAAAATTTACAATTTTAAGACGTTCACATTTTTCTAAAGACTTCCCGACTTCATCAGAATATCGACGAGGTCCCACTGTGCTGCCATCTAAATGTTAGAATAAATGTATTAATGGCAATTAGTTGCGTGTAGTTGGCAAAAATACCATTGTAAAGGACGTTTCAATTCAGTATCAATATACCTAATCACACAATTTTTATTACCGGTATTAACAACAGTATCATCGCAACCCACAGCCGCCAAATCATCTAGTTCCAAATTGTTTTTAGCAAAAAAGTCCAATATTGCCTTTCCAATTGACTTTTCCGTCCCTGTAGTTGGAGTTTCGTGGCCAATATAGATAGATTCAGGTCCCTCGATAAGCGATGTGTGTTCTTCGACAACAGTTTTCTTGTATAATCTGCCTTGTTTCTTCTCTTGCAGTAAAATTTTCTCCTTTCTTCCATCAAAATACAGACTTCTTATTCTTCTGTTATCACTTTCAAACTCCTTCTTTGCGGCATTTTTAGATATCTTTAGTTCTCTTTTCACTTTATTTTTGTCAACTATTTTCGACGGATGTTCTGTGGTAATTATTAAATTATTCCTACTCGTACATCTGTTAATATTGCACTAGCAATCGTAGCAGCTGATCAGATATACCATATTTATTGCATACAAGACCTAACTTAGGTAACTTTGTTCTCATTTGAGTGTTTTTTGAAATAAAGGGTAAGTTTGGATTGATAAAGTCGTCATCTGAAGAGGATTGAAATTTTAAGGGGTCAGATTCTGACCCTGACAATAATATAATAGTTTGAAAGGAATAGCTGGGTCTTAATAAATTGCAAGATTCTGATTCATATTTTTTTAGTCTTTCGATTTCTCTGGATTGCCTTTGTTTATTCAAGGGTTATATCATAAGTGCGTCTAATTTAATCGATTAAACTTTATACGAAAACACTATTTTGAACATTTTGCTTAGTAAATGACTTATGTGTATAATAATTTGATAAATTCCTGAGACCGTAGGTCAAAGGGATTGATCTAAAATTATACACGAAAGCATTTACTACAAAGCAAAATTTAAAAAATGTTTGAGTATAGTTTAATCTATTAAATTAGATGCACGAAGGGTATATTTTAAGATTATTTCACGAATAAAAATATTAGCTTGAACTAAAGAATTTTTATTAGAAAACAATTAACAGATCATAAACAGAGAACATGAATTAATTTTTTTTACATTAGTACAATTGATAAAAAAGTTGCAATTTTGGTAGACAATCGGCGTTTCTTCTTCTTCACTAATTACATTTTCTACGTTACTAGATTCCAACCCTCTATTTAAAATTGTTTTGGATTTACTAGGTTGTTGTTCCACATTAAATTCATTGCATCTTAATTTATTTATAACGCTTATCTCTCTCAACAACAACAACGGAGGAGGAGGAAAAGAGAGAGACTCTCTCTTTTCCTCCTCCTCCGTTGTTATTGTTCTTGTGCTTTATTTTTAATTAATAATTACTTTCAGCAGTGGCTCTATTTGAATGGTTAGTAATAATTTTACATTGTTTTGTATCCAAACCAATTTTTGCGGCCGCTTCTTTCGTCCATTTAGATATTTCATTTCTTCCTATTGGTATATTCTTATACCAGTAAGAAAATTCCGTTTTGTCCAACTTGGATTACATGTTAAAAACATTATATCTGTTGTTATATTAGGACCTCGTTTGCTTTTGATTTTTTTAAATCATCTAACTGGACATACATTCGGGTTTGCTTCATTAGGCGCTAACCAATTGCTCTCACCACATTTTTTCGCTCCTCCTTGAGAAGTTTTAGTAAAAACTGGATTGTATTCTATTCGTCCTAAAAAGTTGTAAAGACATTAATATATTTTAGTGCAGGGCATAGTGGCACATTCGCTTGCAAAATTGTTTTAATTCGTATTTTTTTTTAAATGTCCGGAAGGCTTTCCTGATTATAAAAGAAAAGTGTAAGATGACACTCGATATTTGTTGATGTTATTGTTTAAACAACGAAAAATTAATTAAGCCAGAAAAAATGCATTTTTTGCAATGAATTAATTTTTTTTATATTCTTTAGGATATTTCGAATAAAAAAAGTCCGTACGCCCATCATTGTATCTTTAACCCTTTAATTGTTATGAATTTTTTAAAATCCGAAATTGACGAAAATTCTAATTTTCTTGAATTAAATAATATACCTTAAAATTTAAAATGCTATAATTCTAAATTTTTTACCGAATATTCAAACCATAATTTTGTTTGTTGTTATGTTTATTTTTACGTTATAACAATATGCTTCCTACGCGCGTGTACTTTTAGAGAGAAGTACTTCTATCTCACTTCCAACTCAATGTATAAGATGGGTAAGAGAAAGCCCGATGACGCGCTGAATCAATTTTTTGCTGTTTTTCAGAGGTAATAAGTTTAAAAAAATTATTATTAACATTTTTCATAACACTTTGTTATATTTGCCGATTAATAGTTTTGTATCATGTGATTTTTTTTACTTTTTTAGATACTTTTGATAACTTTTTTATTTATTAAAGTTAACAAAAACATTTATTTTTAACATTTATTTTTATTCATGAAAAAATTATTGTCAGATACTGTCTGAGAAGTAAAATCTTCTTCAACCTTTTTTTTTTTTTTCAATACAATAAAAAGGCCAAATGCGCTTGTGATTCGTGAAAAATTTCTACCTGTTACAATGAACATAGTAGGCTTACTGGGGTTATAAAATTTTATGATTTCAAAAATATCCAAACCTTTCCCCATTTAACAAAAATAAGGAAAAAAATTTTTTTTTCTAATATTGAGAATAAGTAGGTACTATAAATATGAAAATTTTTTATGACTTTCAATCTTTTCCACTATGAATACAAATAGGTAAAAGGACTTATTTCCTATTTTGAAAAAATTGTACGTTTAACTTTTCTTCTATTTTTTTTTCTGTTATAAACAATTTTTACAACCTTCCAAATAGAAAATTCAACCCTACCTTAGAATTTTTGGCTCGTTTTGAAAATTATTTTTCAGTTGTTAATCAGTCTTGCTCGATTCTACATCTACTGGTTTACTTTGCAGCCGTTTAATTTTCTGAGTAATAATGTCGTTCTCTTTAATTCAAAAAAAATTATCTGACGACAAAAAGTGTTTATTTTGTGATCATGGCGAGGCGTTAGTGAAGTGTCCGAAACCTGATACATATTTAAAATTAAAAAATGCAACTCTTCGTCGAAACGATAACGTGACTTTGCGATTTAATTTGTTGTTTAATGAAAATACTAGTGAACAATCTTTTTCGTGGCATCGTGGCGCGTAGGAAGCATATTGTTATAACGTAAAAAAAAACATAACAAACAAAATTTTGAAAATTTATTTAGGTAATTTTGTTTATTATAGTTTGTATATTCGGTAAAAAATTTAAAATTATAGCATTTTACATTTTAAGGTATATTATTTAATTCAAGAAAATTAGAATTTTCGTCAATTTTGGATTTTAAAAAATTCATAACAATTAAAGGGTTGAAGATACGATGATGGGCGTAAGGACTTTTTTTATTCGAAATATCCCAAAGAATATAAAAAAAATTAATGCATTGCAAAAAATGCTTTTTTTCTGGCTTAATTAATTTTTCGTTGTTTAAACAATAACATCAACAAATATCGAGTGTCATCTTACACTTTTATAATCAGGAAAGCCTTCCGGACATTTAAAAATAAAAATTACGAATTAAAACAATTTTGCAAACGAATGCGCCAGTATGCTCTGGTCTATTTATACATTTTTTAATTATTACCTGTTGGTTGGCCTCTAATGTTCATTCTTCACGAAAATAATTAATTAGACATTTTGCAGCTTCTGCACCTCTCCATGCTAATTCGACCGATATAATATGAAAAATATGAAAACTACCTAAATCATTCAAAAATCAATTTAAAGCTGTTTTTGTGTTATATTTATATGTATACGCGTGTTTTAAGCTGTCTAAATGATATTAAATAAAACTACTATACTCGGACAAATTATTGAAGAAGGTGATTCCTTCCTGTTCACGTACAACAATCATAGTATACCAGAGCATAATAAATGGAATCACGCGCTTAAAACTGCAGAAATAATCGGAATCACGTGCCAACTAGTCATAAATGCATGTTTATTGCCAAAATGAATTACGCCAGTGGCGTATAAAAACTATTGGCAAATTAAATGCGGTAATAGTAAATAATATTATATGAAAGTAGGTTGGTTATCTATTTTTGTAGTAATAATCATTTATGTTTATAATTTTGTTTTGTTTATTGTTAAAATATGTAAATATTATGCCAGTGGCGTAGAAACACTATTGGAAAATTAAATGGGGTATTATACTAGAACAAAATATTGAAGAAGGTGCGCCTTAAAACTGCAAAAGGTATCGTTATCATATCAAAATGCACTCTTCCAGTGTCGCAGAAATACTATATTGGCAAATTAAATGGGTATTTGTGAATATTACTAGATGTAAGTAGGTTGGTTATCTATTTTTGTTATAATTCATCTATGTTTATAATTGTATTTTGTTTATTATAAAAGTATGTAATTTAAGCTTGGTATCACTTACTTGAATTCTAAATCTATGAAGTTTCGTAATCCTTTGATTCTGCAGAACTATCACTGGAATCGTCTTTATCGTCGGAACTTAAAGTTATGACTAAAGGTTCAACTACCGTTTCGATCATACCGTCCAAGCGCCACATATTATTTTCTTCCTTAATTACATGGGAAATAACATTCTGCCAATCTTCAAATTTTATATGTTCTATACCGGTTTTTAATAAACTTTGAACGTCGGCTATTTTAAAAGTTTTATTTTCTCGAGCTACAAACCCTTTCACTTGCGCCCAAATTAGTTCAATAGGATTGAATTCGCAGTGATAAGGGGGAGTCTTAATACCGTCATACCACGATCACGAGTCATTGTGTCGACAACATATTGAATATATTTATGTCGGTGTTCCTTTATTAGGTCCATTAATTCCACTTTAAGCAGCCAGGTTTGCATATCCGTTTTCCTACTGGACATTATCGGAATGCGTTTAACTCGTCGACTGTGATAAGAAGAGTTATCTAGTACAATAACTGAATTTCGTTCTACACGCTGTAATACTTCAGTAAACCATTTTTCAAAGCATTCCGCATTCATGTCCTCGTGGTAGTCTCCTGTTTTTTCGATATAAACACAAGAGCGCTATTTTCCAAAAATCTACTGTCACTTCCGATATGGGTAACAATTAGGCGCTGTCCTTTACCTGATGGTGCTTTCAAACCTGTAGATAATCCCTCTATAAAAGCTTGGCGATGTCTAGTTACAGAAGTATCTTACCATATATTAGATACCGTGTGTCCAGCATTCACACACGTTTCATCGAGATAGTATATCTTTTTTTTAGCGGCTCTAAACTCTTTAATATTTCGTAAATAACGCCATCGCCAGGACACTATATCTGACCTCTCAATTAAAATTTCTACACCGTTTGACAAAACGAAATTTTAGGCCCGATAAAATTTTTCGTAAAGTTTCACGGCTCATTAATGGAATTTCTTCGTTTTCTCTTAATTTCGTAAGAAAAACTTTAAGTGTTGGGGCTTTGTTATGGAAAGAAAAGAATGTTCTTCGAATGATTTGTTTTTGGTTATCGTCCAATTTCTACAATTTTCGACCACGGGTATGCGTTTTAGGGGCTTCTAAGGAGCCTTTTTTTGTCTTTTCGCGTACAATACGTTCAATTGTTGAAACAGATACTCCAGTTAAAAAAGAACTGCGGTTTACAGCTTCATTTGTAGGAAGTGTCTGTTTCAGCCCATCATACACTTTCCATATAATGTTCTTTTCATCCTTTGATAAGGGCTTTCGCCGACGTAATTGGGTTTCACTTGGATCCGCCTCTGAATCCGTTACTATTGTAACAATATAATTGTACTATTAAATTGTTTTTATTAAATTTATAAAGACACCAATATTGTACTATTTAATAAACTTTTAAAGTACCTACCTAATATACTACACAATAAATATAACTCCTCGAATATGCATTACCACTACCAAATTGTAAGGCACAAACATGAACACCTACTCGTATATCAGAAAAGAGCACTTATACAAAAAAGTGTTTATAAAATATAAAATAATTATCGTAAATAGTTAAAGCGATACAAATCTAACTTCGTCGAAAGTTAGTTTTCAACTGTCTTTGTGCCTGTGCTGACAATATTCAATCTGTAACCCGTCTAAAACACATTTTAAAACCTTTAAAGATAACGAAGTCATTAGGGAATAAATATATTCATTTTTTGAAAACTATCAAAAACGTTTAAATAAAGATGTTAACAAACAAATTTAATAAAGTTTACTAACAAATACCTAATAAATAATAAATAAATATTTGGTATTTGATACGCCGCCTATGCTGACTCTGTCGGAATTTTCATTCATAGACAACAGTGTTGATCATGCATGCCTTCTACAATATTTTGTCCGAGTATAGCGTATTTATAACCTACCCCGAAAACGTGTCCTATTTTGTTTCTACCTATTTAAATAGATTACAGTTTTAGGTGATTTGACGTTGAGAAGATATGTTTAAAAAGTAGATACTATTTTTATGTAAGGGTCGGAGTGGGATTTTAAAAAGAGTGTAAATTAAAGGTCGCCTTTATCTTTATAGTGAAAAATAGTTGGGTTACAATTCTAGTAAAAATCGGGATTTCAATTTGGTCATGACGAAAATAAATTTCTTTGTCTATATAAATTTTCTAAGGGGGTGGTAGAGGGCTTAAAACGTATTACTAAAATTAAAAAAAAACAGTGTATATGCTTAAACACAGCGTTTGATGGTTATAGTTTATTAAAATTTTACATTTAATTTTATTTTTAATTATTTTGGGGGCTGGTAAAGGACCGAAAATATAATTTTAAAATTTAAAAAAAAAATACAAGCAGTTTTTATAATGAAACGTAGCTTTTAAATGCTATAGCAAATTAATATTTTGTCTACACCCACATGGATATTAGCTTATCTATGCACGCACAGGCTAAAAAACGAAAAGGTATGCCATTGCGTTCAACTGAACCAATATGTTTCATATTCATTCTAGGTAGTGAGAACACTGCAAAAAAATGAAATTCACCAATCACAGTTCCTATTTTGGACACCCAACTGCTATTATTTTTATAATTTGAAATAAGTGACAATCCTGTCAAACTAATTGTCAGTATATTTTTCATTTATTGAGATTAAATATACATTAAAATGAGTTATTTTTATGTAAAATCGGTAAATAATCCTAATTGCATTTTTATTTGATACATATTTTGAACAAAAAAAAATAAATTTTAATCAAACAATATGAAACTATTAAAACGAAAATCGTAAAAGTGGCCGTAGACGGATGGACAGAGTGCTTGCTTTCCACGCGAAAAGCCGGATTCTCGGCTGGCGACTATTTTTTTTTTCGTATTTATTTTATTTTAAAAATCAGTAAAATTCATAAAATATTTTAAAATTAGTTATTTTCAGGGTATCTATTCTTGAATCTCAGGGAGTAGAAATTTTGAGGGAAGAGTGAGACAAAAATACACATTTTGTGCGCTGCAGATAAAGAGGAAAAACCGGTTTTCTATTCCCTCGAATTCAAGAATAACTACCCTGGGAGCTAGTGTTCGACTACAAGTGACGCAACGCTTTCGAGTAATTTCTGTAAATGCCAGGGACAGTCTAAACCAAATGTTTTGATTAACAAAAATATGTTGAAGTTTCTTCAACAGTCAGTACCTTCCCCTCGTCATTCTTCCTGCATCCGCTTACCGTTATTCTAATATTCTAATAATCAAGCATAATTTCGTTATCTCCTTCAGATACGCCAGACCACCACTGAAACTAAAATTATCTAAAATGTATAAAGAAGATAAAAAAGACGATGACAATAAAGCGTATCTGCAAAAATCTATTCCGAATTTTGTTAAGAAGAATATTGAATTAGCTGGAAAGGCGAAGAGAATCGAATACGATGTGGAGCGCGACATAATAAAATTACCAAATAGAAGGGAGTCGAAAAGAATCAGCATGATCGGTGCGCACGCATTTAGAGAAAGAAAGAACTCGAACGTTGGTCTGTAAATTTGACACGCAGTATTTATTTTTTCCATATAGAGACCTCATGTCATTTAATACTATAATAAATAAAAACAGAAGAGTAGTGCAGTAAGCATGGGGACGAAATAGAGTTTTCGAAGTTGAACATTTTTTATTATCTTTATAACCTTGTTTTCAATAAAAGCGCCATTTGCTTCTTCGTGGTTATCTACGATAGTAATAATCAATCTTGTAGAAATCCTTCTGATCCTTCAGTATGGATAATTATTAGTCTTTTCGTCTTCGTGTTGGATTTTTCAAGTCACAAGAAACTCCCTATTTTGTTTATTATTCCCATTAGTCCCATGGGGTTAGATCACACGATATCGGTGGCCAGATAACACGGTACGCAAATCTTTGTTGCATCATCCATGGCATTGTTTTTTGCGCAGTAGTGCAGGTCGCCCCGTTATGCTAAAATCGCAAACATATGTATCTCTTCCACATTTGACATAATTTGAGCACAGCATAATAGATTTTAAACGTTTACCGGACATTTTAGATCACCCATTTTTTCGAGATTATTTGGGGTTTAGTTTAACCAGTATTTAATGAAATCGTCTCTCCCCAAATCAAATGACCAAATTAAATAGGATTTCGTTAGGACCGTGAGCCATGTAGCCTCCCCCCTTTAGTTTGTTTTTTGCAGTAGACTCCATAGACTGGGAAGTAGCTCTACGGTGTAACTAATTGCCCTTGGTTTTCCTTCAAAAGTTTAAGGAATGTCAGTTTTGGTAGTCCTGTGAATAGGCCTACTTTACTTTTATACTCTAGTATTTTTTCTATTATTACTTAGTAGATGCTTGGTGAGCTTAGACGATGGTTATCGTTTCTGATTGATAAACTGATTAATGAAGGTTTACGTTTACTAGATATTTAATTAATGGAACGATTTAATTCTTACCTCTAAAACAGCAGAAGAACGTGTATCACCTTACAACCTCAGGCACACCATGACATATGCCGGTCTCCCCGACTGAGCGAGCACATGCGGTGATGCGCGCGCAAAACGATCAGGGGCCCTATTCTCCAAGTGTCCTATCACCAATTTGGTATCTCGGTCATCATATTCGGTATTCTTGAATCATTCACATCTCATAGGTTCACGGAGCACCGCTGCCAAATTTAAGTTGTGCGTTAGAACTATTTTAGAAGGCACTTTACTTCATTTTTTTGTTATTTTTTAACAATTATAATAACAGATTATATTTTCCATTATTATCTATTAAATCCCATGCCAAAGGTTTACTTAGACGAACATTTTGTATGAATATTCGGTCACTAAAGTCAAAACGATCCTCTTTTCTTAAAAAAATTCTATTTGGTCGATTGGCATCTTCTTCCGCTTCAGCTAGATCATTCAAAATATGAATATAAATAAGAGCTTCGTCCAAATCCATTTTAATTAAAAAAAGTGACGTTTTGATAGCCCACAACAATGACAGTTCTCACAATGTTCTCCCGAAATGATGCTCTTCTACTGGTTTTGACTAAGAGAAGTATGTTGTCTCCATTTTCATGCGAAGTGATCATTCACTTCAATTCAAGAATACCACTCACACACTTTTTAAGAGAATGGCTGTCCAGTTCGCATAAAATGATCATTCTCTCAACTGGAGAATAGGCCCCCAGATCATGTCACGGTAAAGAACTTCGAAAAAAACAGGGGTGCACTCAAGGGTATTGAAAAGGGTATTTGTAACACCTTCCGGTTCGAAAAGAGCGAAATTCTTTGTTGAGACATATTCTTTACATACGTACAAAACCTAAAACTATTACAAAAATGTTAGGAACATTTAACTAAATCTATGTACCAATCAAGGACAAACAAAACGAAAACAAGTAAAACGAGAAGAAAAAAAATTAAAGTATTCAGTCTTTAGGTAAGGTTACCGCGTTTAAATCACAGTACAGGAAAAATGTTCAATGTTCATTTTCCCTGTAGAGATTTCTTTTTCTTCCACTAAATAGGTAGCTTTTCTCTGTAAGGGAACTTTCTATAGCTTTGGGTAGGTACATTTTAATATATGGTCTTGTACATTTAAAAATGGGAATAAAAGTTTTAGATTTAAGATAGGAAAATCTGGTTAATAGACTGCTAACCATTAAAGAAATACTACTGTGCATAAGTAGCTATTCTGTCCACTCAGCACTTTGGGGTTAACTAGGGTGTGTAAGTAGCTATTCTGTCTACTGAGCACTTCGGAACCTTTACTAAGTTTGAGGTAGTGCGGAAAAATAGAGCAAAATTGTCAAAGTTTGGCTTTATTAGATATCTTCATCTGATGAATCATCGTCGCAGGGTTGCTTTTCATCATATAGTAGATATTTGTATGCTGGAACAAATCTCAGATCATCTATATGGGCCTTAACTGGTTATACGGTATAGGTGGAGTCTGAGTTAACTACAAGGACCTCACATGGGCCTACCCAAAAGGATTGTCCTCGCATAAAGATTCGTCTCCTACATGGAATGTGATTGTTGGTGGTAGATCAGGAGCATACTTTTCTTGATATTGGCGATGGTTGTCTTGGATTTGTTGCACCTTTATATTGTGATTTTCTCCGTGGTTCTAATGAGTTTCCACAGGACCGGATTGGTTCGATCTCCAGGAAATGGTAGGTTGTAGCCCAACAAGGCTTCACTTGGAGATATTTCCGTGGCCGTATTGCTCTTGGAACGAATAGCAAAGAGGACGCGGGGCAACTGTTTTTCCCAGTCACTGGAGTTTTTATTTATTAAGTGAATTCTTAGTAATTTTTTAACATTCTGATTTTTGACATATTTAGTTTCCACCCACTTAGTGAAAATGTCTTCGCACACTATTATATATTTGTGATTGTTATGCTGTGTATGGTCCCAAAAAATCGGTACTTATAGTATTCCATGGATTTTTTTGGAATGTGTGCGGTCAGAGACGCTTTGATTTGGGGCGTTCGACCTTCACACAGATGGCAAATTCTACAGTTTTGTATTTTTGAAATCGTAATAAGTATATAATACTCGAGCTCTTAAAGATGAACGGAATATTAAAACTTTACTAGGTTTAGTTAACAGGAGATCATTTTCAATACTGTATGATACGAAAAATTACATTCTGAATGTGTTTTACAACCTTCGCTTCTTAATATTTTTAATTTAATTTTATCTCTTCAAATCATTTTATCCTCTGACTGAGCCAATCAAATAAGTTCATATAGAAAAGGTTGGTTAAAAGGAGCAATGTGATTTACCAAGTTAGATTTTGGTGTTGAGTCTGGTTGAGTCGGAGTACTGAGTGGATAATTAGAATCAGAAATAGTGTCGGGAGGTAAAAGTCCATCTACGTCATCAATATTTTCAACAAATTAATTTGATGGATTAAGGGTTAAGAAATCAAGGAGTTGATTTAGTCTACCAAGGTAATGAACGAACGTGTAAGAAAATTATTGAAGTAGTAAATACCACCGTCAGTTTTGCTTTAGTATCAATGTTTTTATTTAACGATTGTACAAATCGGCTGTCCGTTACTAGTTTAAAAGGACGGACCTTCTAGATATACCCTATAACGTTTTAACGGCCCATATGTTATAGCTAAACATTCTAATTCATTTATATGATACTTTCGTTCAGCTCTATTTAAACGGTGCAATAGAATACAAAATGATATGGTACTTTTCATCATTGGAGCCTTCCTCATATGAAGCTGCACCGGATTCCGACTGTGCTACTATCACACTGCAATACAAATGGCAATGAAGGGTCAGGTCGGTGAAGAGTTAAAGGTTTAGAAACTTCCTTTTTAATTGTCTCGAATGCCTCTTGTTGTTCTAACCCCCATTTCCACCTACATTTAGGTGATAACAGCTCAGTTAAGGGAGCAGTTATTTCTGCTACTCTGGGAATATATTCTTGTAGCCAGTTGAGAATTCCTAAGAATGATTGTATGTCTTTCTTATTTAGCGGTATTGGGAAGTTTATTAATTGGTCAAGATGTTTGGTTTGGGGAGTATTGATATTTCCATGAATTTCATGACCCAAGTTAACAATGATGAGGTGGCAAAATGACATTTTTTTAGTGAAGTTTTAGTGGTTCTACAACCAAACGGAGGTGATTTAGATGTTCAGACAAAGAATTTGAAAAGACTACAATATCATCAAGGTATCCCTTTGCAAATATGTGAAAAGAGCCGGAAAGAACTTCCCGGGCCATAAGTTGCTGAAAGGTGTTAGGGGCATTTTTAAGGCCAAATGGCATAACGATGAATTGAAAATGAGCTCCATCAGGTATGGAGAAAGCTGACAAATGTTATGCTCGATCTGTCGAAGCTATTTGCCAGTACCAGCTTTTGAAATTTAGGGTGGTAAAAATTTTAGTCGAGCTTAGTTCCTTTAGAGTTTCGGAAATTTTTGGTAAAGTTGAGCTTTCTAATTCTGTTATTTCGTTTCAAGTCTTTTTCCACTGTAGACGCGGTAGAAATAAGTTGATCGAAATCCAAACACTATCGGGAGTAACATATTTTCCATTAGGTCGGGTTGTACCCTGCAAAAAAGAATACGTTTTCTTGCAATGAAAACGGCGACCTCTTCGTTTTTATGGTTTTTCCCATACAACTCCACCACTAATTGCACTGGTATTGAGAGGGTTCTATAACAGGTCCTTTTAAGAACTCTTTGGCCTGTCTCTATCCTGGTGAATTTTTCCACCATTCCTGAGATTTTTTAAACATCAACTGCTTTGTGCATGTTCTGATAGCTGACATCACATAATGGTTCTGGGCCAATTAGACCCGTTAAGGCTCCTTCTCGTGCTAGTAAATCAGCCTCTTCATTGCCCTGGCTAATATTTGTCTGTTTTGATTACTCAGCTATGTTAAGGTCCCACACAAGTTTTGAGTGTACCTGTATGAAACTAAGTGTCTGAGTATATGACAAAGGTTTTTCCGTTTACCTTATGTCTTAATACTTCTTTTGCGCAGTGATAAAAATGTCGCATGTTTACCTAAGCTCAGTGAAATTCTTGTCTCTGGCTTGACACTATATATACACCTACTTCTGATCCTTCAAAGGTTTTGGAGGCGTCTCTATACCAGGTGATTTCTGCGTGAATAGCAGGTCCACTCCCTGTCCGATATACTTACTCTATACTGCTTTTAAATGCTATATTTTTGGGTCTTTTCATCTGAAGGCATTCCCATTATTTGGTCGTTCTACATTTGTATTCCTCGCTGTAGTCACGTCCATGTATATTGTTTATGGGTGATGGACCTGCGTACAGTCTGTATGTGACGGACCTGATTTTACTTTAAATGAATATGTATATTTAGTTGTGTTTGGTTTAGTATGAATTTTAGGGTTTTTGGTTTTAATATCAAATTTTTTCCACACAACCTTCGACATAAGTTAAAGGATGTTGTGCTTTTTTAGGTCACTTTTGCAAGTGTTAATTTCATGTTAACCTGTGGTCAAACATAACACCTAAATATTTGTGCTTTTGGGCAAACGGTAGCTGTCAATTCATTTCGTTTTATGAAGTAGAATATTGTGGTTTTGTGAGGGTTTCTATTAGTTCCTCCTCTCTGCACCACTCGTCAACAATGTCCAGACCGGTAGTTTGTGTGCGCTCCGATATTGTATCTGCGAACTTGCCAGATTATCGGCATACCCTAGGTAGCAGAGTCTGTAGATGTTAACCTAACTAGACTAAAGGGAGTACAATAAATAGATTATAGAATCTTTAAGATAAAGTCAACGCAAACATATCACAAACCTAATCATGATTAAAGAATTGACAACTATGATACGATTAGTATTGACATATCCGTTGTAGTTGTTACTTCGCTTTGTTTAAAAAAAAAATGACGGTACATTATCTATTATTAGCTAGATTCCATGATTTGTTTTTCTTTTAAGGTTGGTCTATCTAATACGAAATTGCTTTTTATTGCTGCACTCCTTTGCGAGAAAGAAAATATTACTCAATTTGTATACCTCTTCTAATTTAGGTTAAGAATATTTCCTTTCAATATCTAGTATTATATTACTAAATAATACTTCTTAGGTGCTACGTATATTGGATATAGAGCCATGCCCATTTCTCCTGAGGAACCTGAGCAGCCAGAAGCAGAAGTGGGGTTGACCGATATTTTAAAAAATGTTCCAAGACAATCGGTTACTAGCGTTATTGAACACGCTGCTGCTGTGGCAATTGAAACTCACCATACTCTGTATGCTCACCATACGGATAAAGAACATAAAATTGAACATCTGCAAGATACAGCTAAGAGAAGAAGAATTAGTGAGCAGAGTGATACTAGATCACATAGGAGGAGCGGCGAACAAGTCAGGCATAACCATCCAATCGATCCTGATCGAAGAGGCAGTAGGCAGTACAGTATTTATCAGACGACTTGTCCCGCTTGTATGGAGAGATGGAGGAATCCACTGCCTACTCCTAAAAGTCCGAGGTAAATATACACAGTGACGAACAAACCCGATGTTAATGTTCTACGAGGTCTCCTCACCAACCAACATTTATCTATTTTGTACTCATAATCAAAGTCAAGAGTTACTAGAATATAGTCAGTCTAATAAATAGCTATAAATAGCCTATTGATGTTCCGTAACTGTATTTAACACACATTATATTTTTAATATAAATTTACAATTTATAGAAGATGGACGAATGGTTTTTCGAATGTTTTTATTCTTTCTATTATGATTTAAAAGAGATTATATTGAATTTAATTTGAGCCAGTATATAATCCCGAATAATAGATTCAAAAATAGAATTTGAGTAGAAGATGTGATAATTAATTTATATTATAACTTTTATAATTTGTCGCCCTTTCACCAGGATTTTTTTTCCTGAGCTCGTCTGACGCAGACTTCTATAACACTGGAGTCTAATGGCTTATTGCATTTTACCCATATTCAATCATAATACCCACTATGTGACCTTAGTCCCTTGTACAAGTTTGTACAAGTCCTTCTTAGGGTGTGTTCTATAGGTTCTTGGATTAACCTTTGGTTATCCAAAAAGTGCCTGTCTTTTGCGATCCAATGTTTCGCAGTTGGGCAATATATATATTTGGATGTTTGTGGTTCAGCTGTGGTTTAGCTGTCCCTTTACTGGGGCATTCCCAGTCATGGGTCTCAACTGGTACATATTCATAGAGAGTAGTGCTCCTGTTCTTTTTGAACATGGTCTTCCTATAAAGGTTTTCTCATGTGCTTGTTGTCAGATATTCTCCCAATAGTTGTGTATTCTCCTAACCAAGTTTATTGGACACTGGGTTTTCTTCATTCTGTTTGATATTAAAACCTCGGATAGAGTGTTGAAGGGGTATTGTTTGGTTATGTGATCTCTTCTCAGGTCTAGCATGTCCCCTGTCACTAACTTTGTAATATTTAGGTGACCTGGTCTGTAAGCACTTATGTTGCCTCCCCCTCTATCACAAGGTGAAGTGGTGGCAAGCCTATCGGTGCTTCCATTGCTGCTGTGGGGGTTGTTCTCATTGCCTCAGTTATTCCAAGACGGGCGAGACTTTGTATCTGGCTTAGTTTTGTTATTGCCTCTCTTGTCTTTGGCTACCACATGAAAGCTACGTATGTTATTATCGGTCTTATCACCAAATTGTATGTATATGATTTCAATCTCTATTTTTGTTCACAGGAGCGTCTTGCCATCACTAGTGATGTTTCTGCTTTCCTTGTTTTCTTTCCAAATAAGTTTCGAGTCAATTGTAACCCCGAGATATTGTACCTCCCCTTTAGTTGGACGTTCTCACGTTTAGCGGTTCTAGTTCCTCTAACTTTCTCATTCACGTAAATGCAATTATGGTAGATTTGTTGGGACTTATTTTTCTAAACATTTAGTTACCATGATTAGAACGTCTTACATACGATCTGTAACTGTAGTTTTGTATTTACCTTATGCCATGATCACTAGATCTTCGACATATCTCAGGGTTTTATGTCCATTATTTTTGAGAGTACTAAGCAGCCCTACATGACCAGCTTCCACAGTAGTGAAGACAGTACTCCTCCCTGTGGGCATCCTCTTGCAACCCAGGCTGCTATCTTCTTTCACATAATAGGTGCATGTATCATTTTCCCTTTTTAGCATAGAGTCAATCCAGGTCACACATGTGTCCTTGATTTCTTTATGTTCCAGAGTTCTAACGATAGTCGACGGAGGTATTGTCAAATACTCCCTCTATGTCCAAAAAAGTGTATTCTCTTTTTACTAAATGATGGAGAGCTGTTTTTGTTGATTTTCCAGCACTCTAGGTGTATTAGTCCTGGTTTATTGCTCTTTGAATTAATATCCTGTCTCTAATATGTCTGTCTAGAAGTTTCTCTGAAGTCTTGAGTACCAACGACATTAGATTTATTGATATTAGGGACTTAGCCGTCCTCTATTCTATTTTCTCAAGTTTTGGTTTAAAAGTGACCTTAATGTTTAACCATGCTCTTGGTATGTATCCAAAGGCCAGGTTGCAGAGTTTTATGTATAAAATATCAGGGTCTCTTTGTTGCATTATTGGGTGATTCATATGCTTCAAATGAGTTGATTCCATTTGTCATAATTCACCATTTTTTTGGAAGCCTGCTAGTCTTCCCTGTTGGCTCCTTCACGAGCTTCCAATCCAAGTGTACTCTAGGTTTCCTGTGTGTGTTGCGTTTAAAGTTCATTAAAATTTAAGAGCCTGATCAACTTTGACAGAAGCTTAGACTGTAAGTAATTTGAAGATTGTCACACCAGACACATTAATTTTATTGAACGTGCTTGCAACCGATAATCTTCATATTTTGATCTAACCAATATGTGGTTAATTTACGTTTCATTCATTATGGTCCATCCTGTATAGGATATGACTAAAAAAAGAGACTATACAGGGTTCCTACTATTTCATAGGGACAGTGTTGCTATTTCTCAAACGGTAACAGACAATTGGTTAAATTAGACAGAAGTTGCGCAATACTGTGCTCATTAAAATGGTACCTGTTATGTATTAAACGGGACAAAGACAGGACTTTTTAAGTTGTTTAATTCTTAAAGACCAAAAATGTGATGAAGTGATAGATAACAGAAAAAAAGCTTTTATAACCTTCCAGACAAATCCTACACTCTCAAATATTATAGAATACAAAAGATTAGATGCCATAGCAAAAAATCTGATGTGTCCAACACATGACTTTCCTATCTAGTTATTATAGGCATTTTCCGGTTATTTTGTACAACCTATTGCAGCATCTCTATAAATGTTTAGAGGATAAACTAAATATATACATTTTACACATACATCTACCTCGAAACATTTTTCTATAGATATTCATTGAAAAAGAAAATACAGAAAAATTTAAATTTAGCACTTTTCCATTACGGTCCATTTTAGAAAAATCATGTATAAACAAAAATTATAGAAATCGATATCGCAAACAACTTTTACAATTTTGCACATTTTGTCAAATTTCTCGAATACGGACCATTTCAGGAAATTTTGACATAAAGCAAAAATTATAGATAATAATATTAGAAGTAACTTTTATTTGAACAATTTTCTTCTCCAAACATAAATAACAGATATATTCCATAAAATATAAAAACGGCCTCCCATAAAGTACCCCCCCAGATGTTCCGACTTTGTCCAAAATCTAATCATTTTACGTCAGGCCGAAATAAACCTTAAGTTTATAATTTAATGTTTTTTCCTTTATCCGTTTTTGAGTTTTCTTCAAATTTCGAAATTTACACATTTTCTCAAATATCTCGAATACGGTCCATTTTAGAGAAATTATGTATAGGACAAAAATTATAGAGAATTATATTACAAACAACTTTTATTTGAACAATTTTTATAAAAAATTATGTTTTTTACATTTTGTCAAATTTCTCGAATACGGACCATTTTAGGAAAATTTTGCATAAAACAAAAATTATAGATAATTATATTAGAAGTAACTTTTATTTGAAGAATTTTCTTCTCCAAACGTAAATAACAGATATATTCCATAAAATATAAAAATGACCACCTATAAAGTACCCCCCCAGATGTTCCGACACTGCCCAAAATCTAATCAGCTCATTGGACGCTGAAACAAAGCTTAAGTTTAAAATTTGGTGTTTTTCTGTGTATCGGTTCATGAGTTATGCGTTATACAGACACACACACACACACACACACACACACACACACACACACACACAGACACACACACACACACACACACACACACACACACACAGACATCATCGCGAAAATAGTCAAAACGGATTCAGGGGACCTCAAAACGTAAAAATCCGTCGAAAACTCGAGGTCGAAAAAAATCATGATTCCTATACTTTCCTTATATCTGTATACAGATAGGAAAGTAAAAAGACAATAAAACAAGTCAAAAGGGAAAGTTGGAAAAATTATTGTCTATCTCTGAACCAACATTCTCCTATTAAGGAAGTTTGGCAAAAAGTTCGTTCATTAAAAAATCAAAATTCTTTAATGATTCCTCCAGTAGACATCGAAACAGCCGAGTGGATACCAGAATTTCATTTGAAACTAGCCCCGCCATTCGTTGTTCCATGCCCTCCTAATGATTCAGAATTGGAAAATAAATCCCTAGCCACTTCAACCGAAAACTCCAAAAACTTATTAACACCATTCTCTTATAATGAATTAGAATTGGCCTTAATGAAAACAAAGAACTCGTCTCCAGGTTTAGATAATATTCATTATACAATGCTAAGTAACCTCCCTAAGATTGCTAAACAACAACTATTAAATATCTTAAACAAAATATGGGCTAAGAAACTGGACATTCCAGAATCTTGGTCTGATTATATTATTTTACCCATACTCAAGCCAAACAAAATTCCAACTAATGCAGATTCATATAGACCAATATCACTATCATCTTGTGTTTTAAAAACGTATGAAAAAATGATCAAACTTAGACTGGAACATTGGTTGGAACACAATAATATGTTTCCAAACTCACAATTTGGCTTCAGGAGAAACAAGTCTACTCAAGAAAGTATTACAACCATAACAACTGACATACAAATTGGATTTTCTCAACAAATTTCTACCACTGCTGTGTTTTTAGATATTAAAGGAGCTTATGATAATGTCAATCTAGAAATACTGATTCAAAAAATGATATCATTGGGGATCCCTCACTTAATCTCCTTACATATTTATAAACTATATACAAGACGAAAGTTATTGATTAGAATAAATAATGAATTTATAGGACCTAGAGAAACTTCATTTGGTCTTCCTCAAGGAAGCGTTTTAAGTCCACTTCTATACCTTATTTATACACAAGATTTGGAACGACATATATCTATTCCTACAAAAATTCTTCAATTTGCTGATGATATTGTTTTGTATACTCAGCATAAAAGTATTGATTCTAGTATTTATCAACTATCATTAGGTGTAGAAGACATACAGAAATGGTTGTTTGAAAATGGTCTAACAATTTCAGAAAACAAGTCAGCGGTAGTTTGCTTTACAAGGAAAAGAACTCAACTTTCAAATGTTGCTTCACTAGGAAATTGTCAATTTCAACTTAAAAGTAGTCATAAATTCTTGGGTGTCATATTGGACAAGAAGCTAAACTGGAAAGAACATATTAATTATATTGTAAAAAGAACAGAAAATGCTGTAAATTTAATAAAAACTGTTTCCAAATATAATTGGGGTGCAGACCCCAACATAGCAATTCTTTTTTATAGGGTGCTGATTAGATCAATTTTTGACTATGGAGCAATATTATACAATGATGCATCAAATACTCATTTGCAAAAATTGGACAGAATAAAATACAAATGTCTTAGATTAAGTATAGGTTTTCTCCCAAGTACTCCAATTAATGTAATAGAATCAGAAACTACAGAACCTCCTCTCAATTTTAGAAGAAAATTTTTATCCGAAAAGTTTTTAATAAATCAAAGGGCGAAAAATTCGGTTCTTCTCCCTCTTTTATCCAATTTATCTTCTCTGTGTTTAACTGGAAAGTATTGGTCAAAGAAAAAACTTCCTTTACTAGTAGAGACTTTTTTATCTACCATTGAAATGATTCCAGACCTCCATCAACAAAATGCAATTCCACTATGGTCCTTACATTTTTCAGCTTTAACAACGCCATTGAAAACATATATAAACAAAAAACTACTGAATGAAAACCCTCTAGTGATTAAAAACGCATTTAAAGAAGATTTAATAACAAAATGGAATACATTTGAAAACATATATACCGACGGATCTAAAATTGGGAACCAATTAGGATGTGCAATTTTGTATCCTAACAAAAATTATGAAATTTCATTTAAACTTCCCAGTACAATGTCAATATACAATGCTGAACTTGTTGCTATAAAAGAAGCTTTTAACGTATGTCTTCAGGAAAATAAATCTAAATATGTTATATTTACTGATAGTAAGAGTGCAGTAGAATATTTTGCAAAATGGAACGTTACCAGTCCTACCAACTATATAGCCTCAGAAATTCTTAAGCTTAACTATCAATGTTTGGAACAAAATAAAGAAATTTCGTTGGCGTGGATAAAATCTCATGTAGGTATTAGTAACAATGAGAAAGTGGATATACTAGCAAAAAAGGCTACTGTTTCGGGAACTAATAAAAATATTAAAACTCCAAAATCAGATTTTATTGCTAAATCTAAATTATCAATGTTTAAAACTTGGCAAGATGCATATTCTAAAGAAGAAAAAGGGAAGAAATACAAAAACATCCAACCTAATATTCCAAAGTGTCCCTGGTTCAAAAACGAAATAAATAGGTCTTTTATCCGAGTTATTTGTCGTATGAGAAGTAATCATGCTATGCATCCTGCCTACAAGGAAAAATTTGGGCTATCAGATAATAATTTATGTTTAATTTGTGATGAAATTGCTGATCTCAATCATATAATTTTAGAGTGTGTCCTAAATTCGCTAGATACTGACACAATGTACTTAGAATTAGTTAATATTGGTATACCTCTACCAATAAACATTGATGTTCTGCTTTCATTAAACGATGTTAAAGTTTATAAAATATTGTATGAATTTGTTAAAAAAACTAATACAAGATTGTAAGTAGCTGAGCTACCCTAAAAATATTGTAAACCTGAAACGAAAAAATAAAATAAATGATAAAATAAAAAAATGAAACCAAGGAAAAAAAGAAAAAAAAAAAAACAAAAAACAATACAAAAAAAAATAATACAAAAAAAAAAAATACAAAAAAAAAATAATACAAAAAAAATAATCAAAAATACATATAATAAAAAAATAGACATTTTTTATAATTAATTACAAACTCAGGTATTTTGATAGCTGTAAGTCAAAATATAATAATAATAATAATAATGTAATCATGTAACAATAGTGGATAAAACAATTAAAGAGTTATGGATTACTACAATAGTCTGGCCTTTTGGTTTTATCCAGTGCCATAAAAAAAAAAAAAAAAATTCTTAAAGACAATACAAAACTACAATGAGTATCATGACAAGATACAGACGGTTGAGACGGACATGACAGACTGTCTTCTTGCGTGATGCGCGCTGTCGACTGTCATGTCGAACTGTGTTCCGAAAACCAACTACATGATTGCCAACTTAAATATAACAGTGCCAAGAAACCTTTGATATCTACAGGGATATTCAAAATATCGGACAAAAAGGAATGAATTTAAAGAAATAACAATTTTAATTTTTTTGTCCGATATTTTGAATCTTCCTGTAGATATCAAAGGTTTCTTGGCACCATTTTAATGAGCACAAAAGTGCACAACTTTTGTGTACTTTAACCAACTTTCTATCTGTTACTGTTTAAGAAATAGAAATAATGTCCCTATGAAATAGTAGTTACTCCGCATAGACCAGTTTTATAGACTATAAATGCGATAAAATTGTATTTATATTTCTTTTATATTTTGTAAGGTTACACGTCGAAAAAGATCCCTTAAAAACTGACAGCAAACAGAAAATAGACAAGTTAATAGACAAGGAGCTTTTTACGTTAGAAACTTACGATAAGAAATTTTTGGAACGTTCGAGTGGGTCGAAATCCAAGGATAAATCGCAAGAATACGAAGATTTTAGCATCGATCCAATACAACTTGCCATAATAGAACAAGAGATACGACAAAAAGAAACGCATAAGAAGGTGGAAAAGTTTATTAAGGAAAACAGTTAAAAGAAATTATTTATATCGAATTAGAATTTGAAATCGAATTTTTAATCCAGAATCCACCTGAAATAAAATCAGTATAAGCATTTTCACGGTGATCTTTAATAAGACATTTTTCGTAAACCAACTAAATTATCGATAGAATCAACCGATTTAACATATTTTTACTTAACATCATTTCAAATAAACATAGTAACTTAAATTTTATTATCTGATATAAACTTTTCATACAGTTTTAAATAGAAACAAAGAAAATATATCTTCTACATCTGACAAAGAAACTCGAACATACCCTGCTACAATTAAAGAGAAGCTTATTTACTGAATACCATTTTATATTAAACAGATTTTGATACTTTAATTACAAAAAAAGGTAAAAATCGATATATTTTAACCAGACTCATCGTATTGGTTTTCAATATTTTCCGAAATAAGTCTGATTGGAGTTCATCGTGAAAAAGCCTGCAAAGCCTGGTGAAAAACTCCACACAACTGACAGATCGAAAATAAAATAGTAATAAAACAAATTGCTAAAATAAATAAGATACAATATGATAACAAAATAAACTACTACCAAAATTAACTTATTTTTTTTATCGTTGCATTTTCGTTCTTGAAACTAACATTCGTGACATTACAAAAACTGGTTGTACATCAGAATTTTTAAGTTTGTACATCATTACACGCTCACGGCGTTCTCGTACTTAACTGACTAAAATCACTAGTCTCAACCTCGCCGAAACTTTTACGAAATTGATACCCTTACTATTTATCAAACTTCTAGAATAATAGCTATGAAACAAGTGTGCACATCGTCCTAACGATTGAATTTTCCGAAGTGTACACTTCGAGACTTTCAGTGAAATGAATTCTTTACTGCGCATCCTAATTTCAACATTAACGGCGGACCTACTGAACACCTCTTACCAACATTGAACAAAAACTCTTAACTTGGTTCCATATACGAACATGAACACTTACAATGTTTTTTTTTTTTGGTGTGTCATCGGCTTCAACTGCTAAGGTTATTTCGCCTCGTGTTCTGTGTAGGCTTTGTGACCGTTTCCCAGCGCCACTTTAGGAACAGCACTGTTAATTATAACCCAACAGTGAATGGTCGAGTGGGGAATCCTACCAAGGCATCAGAATTAATTTTAAATAATTAAATTAAATGAAAAAAATCCCGGCCAACGGTGGGATTCGAACCTGAGACCTTCCGATCTCAAAGTCATGACTCTAACCACTGAGCCAACCCACCCCCTACTTACAATGTTAAAAATATTTTAATTCCAAGTACTATATTTACCCATAGTTTTGTAAACTCATCACATATTTCTGCTTCTAACCGATGCCAAAGAGACATTTCTAAACATAGATAGATACTAATATTTTATGCTCTACGTTGCTTATTTTCACTTTTGTGATCTATCTGAAGTCTGACTTCTGCTACATAAAATTCGAATGGCTATGATAAAAAGCAAAGAAGGAATTGTGGTAGTGGTAGAAATCTGAGAGGATGTTACTGATCCAGCATTTGCCTATTAGGTAATCCAAATCACGTGACTTTAAATGGCGGTCGATTGGAGAAAACAACAAAAGTGAGTGTTTTGTGAGTCAGGTTTTTAGTCTAAGCGTGTATTTATTGTTTTGGACTAGTTATTTTCTGTTTAGTTTGAAAAATGCCAAAAATTAATATTCATTAAAACTATATGAATATTAAATGTATGATTTACAATAACAGTTAAACATCAATGAATAAGTCAGGTTAACAAACTTTGTTGTTTTTGCCAAGCATCGAAAATGTTTGTCCATTCTGACAGGACGTTGGATTGCCTGTCTCGTCAGTATATCGCTATAATAGGTCTTTCAGTCTCCAAAGTTACCGTCAGCCTTTGATACTTCCGCTAACACCCGAGTATCGACGCCAAAGACTGAAATTATGCCGTTGCTCGTTGTTTGTAGATCTCCATCTGCAGCTGCCCGAACGTTTTTGTCGCCGTCTCAAGATTTAGTGGAGTAAATTACTTCGAATAATCTGGTGCTCGCGTAACCTATCGAGTGTAGTGCCATTCGTAATAGTATTTTCTCAAGGGGTGGAGAAAAACCCTTACAAATTAGTTTTTTATTTAATACATTATAAAACTTATTAAAAATGTGTGAAGGAATATTTCATTTCCTACTCGTATGATTTACAGCATGAACCGCAGGTTATTATCTATTTAGGTTTAGTGCAGCTCATGCTGTAAATATTATACTCGTAGGAAATGAGTACCATTCCTTGGTCGCTAAACAATATATTATTTTAGAATTAAAATTATGAACTCTAAAATAGTAGTTTATGATGAAAGGACGAAAAGTTTAGTTTTTCACGACTACGAGACTCTTGAGCATATACAAAGACTCTTATAAAATCACGAACAGTCCATCAGAGCAATTCTGTTTGAGTTTTGGCATCAATTTTTGTTAATTTTAATAAACTAATAGTTAATTTCATTGAAAGAAACAATAGAAAAAAATACATTAAAAATACTTGATACATGAATACAATGAATAACAAGTGACATGTTAACAAGTCTGCGACGCAAGAAAAATTAAAACAATAAAAGAGGAATGGGAAAACAATTTTGACCTTGAGTTAAAAACATAATTACACAAAAGCTTTTTTTGTAACAATAGATATATTTGACTGATTTTCATTAAAAAAAAAATTGCTAAAACCCGTGGATATTGTAATAGTTTATTTATTATGAACAAATTTATTTATAACGTACTAATTAATTTATTTAATACTTAGGCGCTATTATAACACAATTCTAATTTATTTATTACAATTTATCTTTACTATCCAACACTTAAATTGAAAATTTACGTCTACCGACAAACTCGTGTTATTTATACAAAAATGTATCGGCCTAGAAAAGAACCATTCCTGCCAAAAATTTTTCGAAAGCTTCCTTCACGCGCCGAACTGCATAGCGTAGATTCCAGCATCGACTTCTCGAGTCTTAGTGCTGGACAGCAGGAGTGCGTTTAGAAACCACGCACGCCGCATCTAGGCTCTATTCTAATGTATGTGGTCAGACGCGCTGTGCGAGGTTTCTAAACGCACTCCTGTGATTGCCAACAGAGTCGGCTTCGCGCGACAATATGAAATCTACATCATCACATCACAATTATTAAAGAATTTGGTTCATTTTCGTCCAAATATTAAGAATTTTTTTAAATGACGTATTTAATCTATTACTATTACTCAACTGAAGGTACTGAATGGGTGTCAAATGAAAAAAATTTGCCACAAACTTGTACTTACAAAATTTCATCATTCAACAAACCATTTCGAATTTGGTCATACCTAATTTGTATTTTATATAGATAAAATTAAATAATTTATCACTTAAAACATGAAGACCCATTTAGAAATAAATATAACAATATTTTCAGTGCTTTATTTTGCAATAAACAAGTTTTTTATTATTTTTTACAAAATTATTTAAAATTCCCATAAGAAGCCATGTATTTTTAACATCCCTAGCGCTCCTGCGGTGAATTGTAAAAGCTTAATTAGAGTTCGTTTTTTGGGACCTAATTTCGAATATGCCGATTCGCTTCCTTTTCTCTAGTCTTAATTTTTGTATACGCATATAGGGACGGTGCCTGAAATATAGAGGCAGCACTATTGCCGAAGTTAGCCCTCTCTAGTGTTTAATTTTAGAATTAAATGGGGTAAACACATAGAGGTATAATACTCTCTAGTCTTCATATATAATACTAATGGAGATGCCATGAGGCAATTGTTTTCCATAAGATATGCGTTATTAAAAATGACCTCACTGGGCGTGGCTTAAATGTAGTCTAAGCAGGGTCGTATTTAGTTCTAATTAAAGTCGCATGTGCAGAATTACAACTTTTCAATGTGTTATATACCTAAGATTTATTTCAACATGTCCAATCCAAAATTAATCTAGTTTATTGCGCAAGTGCGACTTCTGCATTATTTGTTGACCCGTTTGCGACTGAATTAGATTAGACAAATGTTGCTAACATCACACAAGCCATGATTTGTTCTATATTCACTATTTCTAGGTTTCGTCAGATACTAATATATGTACCAACTGTGCTGCATGATATTCGGAAAACATTAGATTTTATGAATTATTTTATCGTTTTTAATAATAATTTTTCATATTTTAAACAAATCTGTATTACATCTTCTTATGAATTTTCAATCAATTTGTATTCTTTATATTCTGGACACTAAATATATAACATATGTACATAACTATCTAACCTGAGGCAGAGAAGACTTCTGTTTTTACAGTTACCACCAACTGATCTTTTTCACAATGGACTTTTCAATACAATAGTTTGCCTCATAGTGTGAAGAACTCAAACATTATTCAGATATATAAGAGAAGATGTACTTTAAACTGTACAGATAAATACCTGTTTTTTTTATTTGGTGTCATCGGCATCAACTACTAAGGTTATTAGCCTGTGTAAGCTTTGTTACTGTTTCCCAACGCCACTTTAGGAACAGTACTGTTAATTAGAACCCAACAGTGAATGGTCGAGTGGGGAATCCTACCAAGGCATTAGAATTAATTTTATATAATTAAATTAAATAAAAAATCCCTGTTCCCTATTACCTTTTATTGTTCAAATTATACAATGTACGATGACATAGTTTTTTAATGATAGTTGGTATATTTTGTAGCAGTCATTTATAAAATTGTTAGCAAATGGGTTTCTTTTTTAAATAATAAAGAACAATCAGAAATGTAAGTAATTATGACTAGTACAGCTCTATATTTGTCATTTAATTTTATTATAAACAAAAAACCGAGAGCTAAAATCTAATATTTTTCCCATGTATAAAACACAATTTTTTTTCTGTGACAGGAAAAACGATTTAATATTGAAAAAATATTCTAAAATATCTACCTTTACTTATGTGTATATATATTCGGGAAAAAAGTACTCACTTTTTTCCCGGGAAACAGGGAGAAAGTAATTTCATAAAAAGTGACATTTTGTTACCTGACAAGAGAGATAAAATGTCGAAACTTTTTTCCCGCCACAGAAAAAACTATTTATACCATCAAGAAAGAACAAAGCAATGGCAAATTGAAATCTCCTGCGAGAAGAAAAAAGCGGATAAGGCAGTCAGAAACTCGTGAATTTACATATGATGGGGGTTTTAAGAGCTTATTGAGAGGAATTGGGCAATTTTTTAACATTCCGCCAACTTTGAATGCACTTTATAATATTAATCGAAGGAATGATAGTTAGTTAATCATTGTTCTCTTTAAGAACACTATATAGATTGGTGAAAGATATTGGTTTTGAATATGTGAAGCGTGGTCGTAAAAGTATAAGGTTAGAACGAAACGACATCATTCATTGGCGGCACAGATATTTAAGAGCTCAAACAATATCCTTGTTTTAACGTTATCTATTTATATGAGGCTTGGGTCAACGTGGGTCTAACGGTTAACTATGCATGGTGTGACAACACCATAAAAAATCTTAGAGATGCTTTTTTACAAAGGGTTTATCCACGGGCCTCAAAGCACCTACTCAAAG